GAGGACATTACCATTGGAATGTTATATCCTTTGGGTTATATATCGCACCACAGGTATTTCAACAGTGGATGGATACAATTTTTAAAGATCTTAAAGATTGTTGCGTAGTTTATATTGATGATATACTTGTCTTCTCTAAAACCAAAGAGGAGCATAAGAAACATTTAAAATTATTTTGTGAAAAATTTCAAAAACATGGAATTATTTTGTCTCCAAAAAAGATTGAACTAGAAAAAGAATCAATTGAATTTTTGGGAATAATTTTAGACCAGAAAGGTTTAAAATTACAGGAACATATTTTGTCCAAAGTACGACATTTTCCTCATACTCTTGAAAATATAACACAATTACAGAGTTTATTAGGCATTTTAAATTATGGGTGAAATTTTATCAAAAATCTTTCAAAAGTAGAAATTTCTTGGTTAACCAAATTGAGGAAAAATGTTATTTTTGAATGGACAGCAAAAGATGTTTTAATTAAACAAATTAAAGAAAATGTTAAAATTCTACTAGATGTTTATCTTCCTAAAACAGGTGATAAATTAATTTTAGAAACAAATGCCTCAGAAACATGTTGGGGATGTGTTCTTAAAGCAATACCAAGTAATTTACAATATGATAAAGAGAGACCTTTATCAAAAAATGGGATTAGACCAAGAAAAAATTCAATACTCATAAAATTACAAAAAGAAGAACTAATTTGTGGATATAATTCTGGAACATTTAAACCAAATGAACAGAAATATATTATTTTTGAAAAAGAATTACTTGCAATAAAATTGGCAATAAAAAGTTTTCATATTTACTTAGCCCAAGAAAATTTTATTGTACGCACTGATAATAAGACGGTAAGAGATTTCTTGATCAATAAAAAACCTATTGAGTAAGGAAGAAGATTAGCCTGATATAATAAAATTTATGAATATACTTTTGAGATAGAACATCTTAAAGGTACTAACAATTTTCTTACAAATTTTCTTAGTAAGAATTGTTTCAAAAAATTAAATTACTAAACAAGTGCTTTTAATTTTTGCAGAAGACCTCTAGACCAAGAGGAAACAATGGACAAGCGTAAACAACCCGCTCAAGGAGATTGGGTGATAATTGCTAAAAAAGCAATCCCTAGACAAGAAAGGGTTTATGCTGCATTTGCAGGAAAACAACTTGGAATTGACATAGACTGGAATGAATGCAATAAGCAAGTTTGCGAATTTTCAGGAGTCAGTCATAAATCATATGATAGCATGACCAAAGCTAAAAAAGCTTTTTACAGTGTACCAGCTATGCCTATTTATCAAAAGAATTTTTGTTAATTGAGAACTAACTCAGTTCCAACTAATATTCAGACATCTAAACCAGATGAATCTGAAATAAAAGATTTTTTCAACCATGGTATATCCAGAGAAATTTATACAGAACTCAATGGAGTTTGGAAAACTTACATTGTAGACAACAAATTGAGATTTCAAAAACACATTGGAGTTTTGGCCAACAAATTAGCTGAGCAAACAGCTAAATTAAAAGATTTGCAAAATCTTTGTTTCAATATTTTTAAATAAATGAATTGGAATGAAGATTTTAATTTCGAAAAAATAAATATTTTTTTTCAGTTATCAGACCTCATATCAGATGAGTTTTCTGATCTAGTTTTTGAACAAATAAAAAGAATGTCTTTTTGAAAAATCAAGAACTTTGCTTCTAAAAGAAATTTTTCTGTTAATCAAAAATCAAGTTGAGGATCATCGTGATAAGGTTAGACAAATCTTAGAACGATCTTATGATAAATTAAATTTTAAAGATGGAATTCCCCAAATAACCATCATGGCAAATCATGGCATGTGGTATTTTGAATATATAGATTGGGGAATAACTAATCAAGTTATTTTCTAAATTTTAGATTGGATTAATAACTAATCAAGTTATTTTCTAAATTTTAGATCTAATCTAATGGATAGAATATCCAATGATCATCAAAGCAATGCTCTCATGGGTAGTAAAAGGCTTCCGATGGAGTAAATATTTTACTTTTTGGATCTCCAGCATTGTTGGTTGGCGGGGAATGAGAACATTTTTTCCAATCATACCAGATTTGGTATCTTAAAGAAACTGAAGATTTTAAATTTGAAGATGAATATTTAGATAAAGATCGCCGGAGAGAGCGATTGGAAAATATTCAAAAACTTTCTTTGACAGAATATTAGATAGACAGTCTAATATCTGTTTCACAGACAGCGTCCAATATCCATGGCTCAGCAAAATTGCCATTCATGGTCACAGATGGTAGAATATTATTTGTAACCCATTTTCCCATAACATATCAAAGGTTTCCTGCACAAATTAATGAGGCTCTTGACATGTTATTAAATCTCAAAAAGAGAAATAATTTAGATCTGCCGTTGGAACTAGCCATGACCGTTGATGATGTAGAACATTTTCGGAATGAGCAATACAGTCAGGATCTTGATTCCCCTTCATTAGAGACTGATGAAGAATATCACAATCTCATCAACAGGATAGAAGCATAGTGGACCTCACTATCACATGTAGTTGTCTCCTAATTGACTCCAACTTTATCTAGGACACGTGGAGCAACCTGCATTATTAGGCGAAAAGTGGTCAGATAAATCCTTTCAGCCGACGTTACACGACGGCAAAGATCAGTCAAATCTTATCTGTTTCAGTCTATCCCTTTGAAAAATGGGGAGGGTAGACAGTGTATATAATTGTAGTTTGTCAGAATATGGCAAATAATTATAGTTTTTGCTTTAAACTTTTTTGTCTCTTTGTATTTATTTTTATGAAGACATTTTGTAAAAGCCTATGCACAGGCTTGTAGACTTTGCAAAGTTTTGGCTGTATTGGTGTGGTGCTTGTCAACAAAGTAGATATGTAATAGTGTTAGGATGACTTATGGATTTTAAGTAATATACAAAATATGGTCATATTTATTATTAATAGTATTTTTTGTATTTCCAAAGCATATTATATCTTCAGGGTTAATTGTCATTATAGATTGTTGTTGGTACCTAAGACCCTCCTAGTGTATAATCTGGTGTCTAAAACTTCTCTTTATGATCTTAAAGACTTAAAAATGCCTAATTATGGCCACTAGTCAAAAGATCTTAATGAGTATATGGGGGTTTGACATACACTAAGCATATAGGTTTTGTAACAACTATAAATGAAACAAATAATTTTGAAGATATAAAGTATAAAAGATACACAATTAAAGACTATACTTGACGAATAATATTTTTTGACTTTTTATTTTTATTTTTTTATATATCATTAAGAACACCATACACACTTATATATATATATCAAAATTTATACATAGATAGAAATATTTACATAGCTTGATCTTGCTTTCAAAAGCTCTTCACCAAGCTCTGATACCAATTATAAAACAAAAAGGAAAGGAGCTTTTTACTATATTTATTATGGAATTATGATGGAGTTATGGTGTTAAGAGAAGTTAGAAGTTAGTGACGAAGTAGGCAACCAAAGATGGAGAGAATTTTCATACTTTATTATGTTGGCTAAAATTCCAATTTATAGACTACATATTGTATATACAAACAAAACTCAAAAGTCATCCTAACATTATTACATATCTACTTTGTTGACAAGCACCACACCAATACGGCCAAAACTTTGCAAAGTCTACAAGCCTATGTATAGGTTTTTACAAAATGTCTTCATAAAAATAATTACAAAGAGACAAAAAAGTCTAAAGAAAAAACTATAATTATTTGTCATATTCTGACAAACTACAATTATCTGACAACACACTATTGATGAATCACATTGGATTTATAAAATTTTGGGACTAAGTTGTTGGAATAATGAAGCCAAACAAATCAACAAGCTTATTTTATTAAGTACACGCAACGTGCATTATTTTGACCGAGTGCTATCACATTAAATCAAGCAATTGACCGAGTGGCGTGTCAAATCAAGATCAAGCAATACAAGCACAATCGAGCATAGCAAACCGGGCATTTTTTATTTCTTTCATTGGACTAAAACTGTACTCGAGAATGGGGGACTACTGATGGGCATAGCCCAAATAGGTGGTCCAATGGGCCGTCCAAGTAATTCCTAACCCAACTTAGGCCCAATGGCCAAACAAAAAGAAGAGACAAGCTGCCCATTTTTCTTCCATGATTTTTGTGACATGGCGACGTTGCCATGGCTTGCTACAGATAGCCATAGACTCACGGCTGGTAGAACAGCTTGAAAAGACAAAGACAGGGAGCAGTCATGAGTGGGGCATGGCAAACCAAGAGGCCAACAAAAGTATGAAAGATATCAATACATACATATTCTCTCAACTACTTGACTTTTTTTTCCAATCTAACCTAACCATCGGAGGGTCTTCAGGAAGGAATCCCACCCCCTCAGTCCTTCCTACTGGACTTGGTGCAGGTGCTGCTGGGAAGACGAAGTTCGGCCAACCCATGGAGCATCCAAATCCTGTCTGACCCATCTATCGTCTGACCAAACTGCATCATCAATTTCTAAGCACATTTTGATGGCTTGAATTTTGTGTAAAATTATCAATTTGAGGATGCCAGAGATTATTATGAGATATTCACATTCATGTAAATTGTGACCTTTTGTTTTGTTTTAATTTTTGCTGAAATTAACACTCAAGATCATTAGAGGGCCAAATCAATGTCCCTTGTTCCAAGTTCAAACTGGAATATCCTTGAATGCTCATCAAGACCATCGTATTTATTCATATTGTGAACATCATCCCCAAGCTTGTGTAATATATGTTACAGTTTGTTGTTGCATATTCCTTTTTAATGACCAAATTGTAAGTAGTTGTGTACATTCTTTGATCCTTATTATCTCTTCCAAATTGTTTTTTTTTTTTTGACGGTGATACATAGAGAGATGGATCCAAATTCAGTTAAATCGACTCTATCTAATTTAGCATTTGGGAATGTTATGGCAGCAGCAGCTCGTGATTATCAAAAGGTGTGTTCTTTGTTTTTCCGTCTTCTTCTTCTTCTTCTTCTTCTTTTCCTCTGTGGTCATCTGTGTCCCTTTTTCATCCATTGTCCTTCATTTGTTGTTAGTTTACTTATATACATATATATTTGATAAGGATTTGTTGTTAGTTCATATACTTTGCTTGTTCTCTAAATCTTCGAACTTAGGACAAAAAGACAATAAGCTAGCTTGATGTTCTTTTATTCTTGTTAACTAAGATTGGTCAATTATATTTGTGATTGTAATGTTGGTGGCTATAAGCTTAATGAGGTTTGTCTACCCATCCTATCCTTTAGAATGTCGCAATTTATGCAAACATGAAAGTTGCGTTCTGTCATTTTGGAGCACTCACCCCCTCATACTGTAAATATAATAATGGTTGAAGTCCTTAAGATCTAGAACCCTTCTTAACATTGCAATATATTTTAGTAATTATGTAAGTTAACACCTGTCAAACAATAAAACATTGTGGCTCTAACATTGCTTTGGTTTTCTGGCCTTAAAGTTGTTATTAATGCGGTTGATAGGACAAAATTAGGAATCAGAAAATTTGAATGGACTAAGGCCTTGTTTGGGAAGAGGGTTGGGCTAAAATAGCCCACTAAAAGACAAAATAGGCTAAAATAGCCAATAAGATAAAATGTCATGTCCAACCCATAATAATTTTACTTTTTATCTTACAATCATCAAATCAATTACAAAAAAAAAAAAAAGAAAAAGAAAAAAGGCCAACCAACTTCCCAAACACAACCACTTTTTATTATGTTTCCATTTACTAATCTTACAGGAAGTTTTAGCGCAAGAGAAGGGACATGCTTCTACATCTATTAATCAGGAGGTTGATCTTGATGACTTGATGGATGTAAGTTGGATTGTGCATCTTCCTGCTTGTTCACTTATTTTTCTATATCCAAATTAGTTTAGTTGCATTGGGTGATATCAGGATCCCGAGCTGGAAAAATTGCATGCAGATAGGATTGCTGCTCTAAAGGTCTGAAATTTAGTCTTATTAAATGCACCTTCTGGCCGTTTGATTATTAGATTTGGGGTAAGATGTCCGAATTGGAAAAAAGTTACCAGGGTTGGTTTTATTTAACTAGAAAGAAGCTGAGAAGCGACAAGCATTGAAGAAGCAAGGGCATGGAGAGTACAGGGAGATTACTGAAGGGGACTTCTTGGGTGAAGTCACCGGAAGTGAAAAAGTAATCTGTCACTTCTACCATCGGGAGTTTTACCGATGCAAGTAAAACCTTTTATCTCTCTCTCTCTCTCTCTCTCTCTCACACACACACACACACACACACACACAAACGTGCATGCACACATGCATATAAGTGGACTCACCAATGACACGGTTGGCTAACCTTGAACCTTCTTCTTTCGATAAGTTATATTCATTGAGTCTGAGAATTGTTTGTGAACTACTGTCTATCATCTAGATAATAGCATGCCCATATATCTCACCAGTTATGTATAGTATAGGTCTTCCGTCTAAATGTTGTCCACTTAATCAAGTAATGATAGGATGCAGGGTCTTGATTGAGGATTGTAGCATGGGGCTTACACACCACACTAGCATTTGTACAATTCGTAAGCTGTTCATTTTATATCCCTGTCACTTTTGACTTCACTATTTTTATTTGATGAGCTATTAACTTCACCCTTAGCATAATAGAAGTACGAAGACATTGAAATAAAATTTTCAATCAAGTCCTAGCTGTCTTACTGGTTTCGTTTTATGATGTCTGCAATGAATGTATTGATTTGTGTTGGAATGGTTTCCATTGACATTAATTGGTTGCAATGATCTGAGTATTTTGGTTAAAAAATAAGAAGTACAGACATCAAAACCTGAATGCCCGCTGCCTTTCATTTTTTTCGTTTCATATTTCACTGTGAATTTCTTTATATTGTAAAATTATTTAATATTTTTGAATGATTTAGCAACCTCTAAACCATTGCTTGGGGTGGACATGTTTTTTTCGTATATCGTCTTCATTTGCAATAGTAGAGTTTTAAGAACAATGATATTTGTCTCAAATTCGTTTCTTCTACCCCTGCTAGGCAGCATTTAAGTTATCCAAACCAATGTAGGCATAATAACTTGTACTTGGTCAAATTGGGGATTGGATGATTGTGCTCAAACCCTAACCCATTTTGATAGTTTCCAAATATTCATATCCACATTTTACTAATTGAGGTTGGCTTAAATTATATTGGGTTATGGAGATACTTGTTATTGCTTCAATTGAAAGATGAACTTTATATTAAGTTAAAATGCACAATGCAGAGAGGCCTCAAGGTTATGGTTATCAGCATTCTCTAAACAAACATATTAACTATATGGTGATATTTTCAATTCTATGAGAATTTTTATGAAAGCCAACTGCTTTGTCTCTACTTTTTGGGTTGGTTACATGAATCATATTTCATCATTCCATTCAATCAAGGGACAGAATTTGAGAGGTTAGAAAGTATTTCAAACTTGTGGCACAATAGACAACCATTTTGTTTACAAATAAATTTGAGACATTTGAGCTACATAATATATGCTTTGAAAACTCACAGTTTGGACAAAGAGAAATCATAGTCCAAATCCTTAATGTCCATTTTGCTGATTGTGCAAACTGGAATGCTTTAGCATTGAACATTTTGTTTGGACAATATTTATAGGAAGTGCTCCATTTATGTTCTGAGGTTATGCCTTTTTTTTTTTCCCTGATCTTATATGCACATCCCAGGCCTTGGGAGAGCCTTTGACATAAAATGCATAACTTAAATATGCACATGCATTTATGTTGTGAGTACTACGCCACCATGTTGATGAATCTTTTGTAGGATAATGGACAAGCATTTGAAGTCACTTGCACCAAAGCATATTGATTGCAAATTCGTCAAGCTAGATGCAGAGGTCAGTTTTCATGTGCTCTTTAAGTTTTTATTCTCTAGTGCTAGTAGCAATTACAATATTGAATTTTTGGTTCCATTCATTTTTTTAACCTTTGAGACAAGATGAAATATGAGATTCTTATAATTTGAAATGAAATGCAGAATGCGCCTTTCTTTGTTTCCAAACTTGCAATCAAAACTTTGCCTTGTGTCATCTTGTTCAGGTAAGCCATCTTTATTGTGTTTCATCTGTTCAATATTTTTTCCAATGCAAGAGTAGATCAATGTTTGGCTGAGAGTACAAATTTGATATGCCTATGGCTGCAATTTGATATTCTTATGGAAACTTAATATATGGATCACACAGCAAGTTCAATCCTCTAACATTTTGGATATTTTAATCACATTTTCTTCGCAAATTTATATGAAGTCTTGGTTAACCCTCTTCCCCCTCCTGGCTCCTCTCTCTATCTGTTTCATTTTCGCATATTATGCTTATAAATCTGATTGGATGCATTTCTTTGTGTCTACATAAAATCAATTCTTGCTGCAAACGTGAGGTTTCTCTTGAGGGAGACTTTTGGGTTTATTTCATGCCTGTTGAATGTGCATAGACAGGGAGCACCTCTAATTCATAGCATGTTGAAAACTTGAATCTTAATTTTTTTATTTTTTGAGTTTATTCTATTTGAAATGAGGCTGGCCTCTAAGATGATTGCAACCCCCCTGAGTTGCAACCCCAAATGTGCCTTGTACTCTTGTATTTTACGTGAACAGCTGTATAAGGAATTGCATTAAATGGAAAACTTACAACATTCTCTTTCAGAAATGGAATTGCAGCAGATAGGCTGGTTGGGTTTCAAGACTTGGGAGGAAAAGATGAATTCACCACGAAGACACTTAAGAATCTACTAATAAAAAAAGGTAATAACACTTCAATTTAGACTACTTTACATCTCTAGAATAGAAGTCTCTAAATGATAATCATTTTACAGGTATAATTAGTGTGAGTAAAGGGGATGAAGAAGACGAAGAAGACAATTATCACGAAAGCAAGAGCAGGGCAGTAAGATCCTCTACGGGTTTTGGTTCTGATTCTGACTGAATCAGAACCTCTAGACCCCTTCTTTTTTCTTAGATGGAAGAGAATGAAATTTGGATCTCCAATCCTTGAAACATGGTTACAAATTTAAAGGAAGTTCAAATTAAAAAGTAACCCAGGATGCAGATGACTTGGATCCATTTGGAAAACCTTATAGTTAGCGTATTACGGATTTTATGAAAAACGTTTATGATTTTAATTATTAATATTTATAAAGTGTATTGGTAATTATTTTTTTTAAAAATTTTCTCTGAATTTTAAATTCAGTATGTGGCCCTTATTGCTAGAGGTTTTTAGCCATTCTTGGTCTGCCAGAGCAGCAGTGGAATAGAATGGCACGTGGTTTAGCAGAGCTTTTCTCGGTGACTAACTCTTTAATTATCATTCATTATAAATCATTATCAGTAATATATTATATTATTTAAAAATTTTATTCATATTTTTATTTTTAAAATTATAAAATGAACCTATTCTTTTCTTTTGCCTCCTCTGATATGAGCCATCACTTACAGTCCGTTTGGATTAAGTCAGACTACGTAATTTAGAGAGAAGAAAAGAAATCAATTTTTTTTTTTTGTTGGTCTCGTTTGGAAATAAAATATTTTAGTAACTTTTTAATTTTTAAAATTAAAATATGAGGTAAAAAAAATTAGTATTTTTAGAATGATTTTTTAGTTTTTTATGAAAAGATGTGCAAAATGTAGACAGAAAATAGAATCTTTAACTTTTTGGTATAGGTTGTAGACTTTTTAATTTTTTTAGTAATTTTTTTGACTTTAAAGCTAAAACAGCCAAATGCCAAACAAAGCCACGTGGATTACTAAAAAGGGGAGAAATGGAGAGAAATTTATTTCTCCCATAACGTACTTTTTGAATCATTCAAAAATTGGAGAGATTTGGATAGAAAAGAATTTGAATGATTAATTTTGTTTATTAGTAAAAAGAAAATGATTCATCACTCTAATTTTACTATTTCAATTTCATCCCTAATAATATATAATTCGAGGGGTTAAAGATGAGAGGAGAGGAGTGTGGCATCGCTTCATATGGGCCTTAGCCATGTCATTGGGATGGAATTGGAGAGGCAAAATTAGAGAGAGATAGTATTGCTATTACTAAAATTGTCCATCTAAAAGGTTATTTTGATAAATATAATCTGTAAGTTTATTTTATTTTATTTTATTTTTTCTCCTTTAATAAAGTGTATCCAAATGCTATTAGAGACTTTTTTTTTTTTTTTTCAATTTCCAAGAACTATTAGAGACTATATATATATATATTCCTTTTTTCTCAGAACTTAACAAATCATTTCATTTTGTTTCCCTACTAGATATCCAACCTTGGTCTTAAATACAACTACTCATTTTTGTAAAATTTCTTCTGAAGTGGATGCAGGTTTGGGTGCTGTTGTTTTCTTCAAAACTATGTAGGGTACGCATCGAAAATAATGTACATTGGCCGGGACAGGCAGCTGTCCCTTTTAATTTTGCAAAATTTATTTCTTAATTAATTTATATTTATAAAGTAAATTTTCAATTAGTTCATTCATTTCTATTATCCTTGCAATTTTCTTTCTTTAATTTTGTACTTTGTTATGAAGTTTCTGTAATGCCTGCTAAATCATACAAGAATGCACCCCCAACAAGTATAACAATATACTCAAAAATCATCTTTCTCATTGAACTAAGATACAAATATTACAATTTCCAAGTCTACATAACCATGACATCGCATACAAGACTCCCAGTTCAACAAATTAGATGACTTTACAAAGGAAAAGCCCCAAGGGGATACAACAATATAAGGCACTTGCCTGATACAACAAAGTTTGTTTGTTCTGTTTTGTTTTTAAAATCTCAATACAAAACTATAAGTCTTAACAACAAAAATATTCTTGAGCTATCACATCCAAACTGAACCATTGCTAGATCCGAGTCATTTCTGTAGTAGTGTGTCATCATTTCCTGTAAAGTAAATAGGGGTGAACGATATGCCCAGTAAGAATACATTTAACAAAATATCTAATCGTTTGAATAAGTCTATGACACCTTTGTAACTAAACAACGTAATTAATAAAAAGATAATCAATTACATAAATAAATAAGGAAAATAAATCACATTGCCTTCTCATACCAAACCATTATCAACGGTGGAAAGTAAATTACACCATGAGTTCCTTTATAAGAGTCCAAAATCACAAATACAAATCATTTTCACTTGAAAATCATCCCCATATTTATCGACTATCATACGGCAGGACGTGGGCATTCAAAATCATCCGTTTTTTTCACTTTTACCGACTACAATACGGCAGAACCAGTGGACACCCAGAAACATTTTCCCACTTTTGCCTGGCGATAAGCTCAAACATAGCAATTGGGCACCTTGACTCCCCACGCAGGTACCAACACCATTCAACAACATCAAAACCGACTCTTAACCTGGACTCATGCTCAATTTACCGAACTTTCATTCAATCAACAAGTATTCAACATTTTATGAGATGAAGTCCAAACACGACATTCAAGAAGAATCAATTCCCATGCCACAATTTCATTATCATAAGAAGATCCACATCTTTTACCTTTTTATTGTTCACAATATTCCTAGAATTTAAGGAAATTACAATCGAAATACTATTTTTTACTCAATTTGAAATTAGGGTGTTGGTCAAATTTGGGGCTTTCACCCTATATATATATAGATTTTCAACATCAATGCTCCTCTTTTATGTAAAATTTGATGAAATTTTAATGAGAATTGAGTAAAATGTCTCATTTTGTTACGTACAAAGTTTAATCCAACTCAATCATTTAATCAAGCCTTATAATTACAACAATACCATATAAACTTCTTCAAAACGAAGAAATACTAGGTTAAAAGTAACCCTACCTCAAGTTATGAGCACAAGAACCAAGCTTCTAGATAAGCTCTTCGCCAAACAAAAATCCAATCGGTAGAAAGGATGTTCTTCACATGTACTTCACCCATTGCGAATGATTTAGGCTAGATCTTAGAGGAATGAGAGGTATTTTAGAGTGAGAAATCTAGGGTTTTCAAACTTAGGGTGAGTGAGAGGAAGAGAGAAAAGAAAAGTGAAAAGAATGATCTAGAAATGTACATTTTAAAGTGCTGAAACCGCGCAAACTGCTCAAGTGCAACTTTTTTCGCTCGAGCGAACAACACTGAAAAATCTAGAAATCCCCTAGATGTTGATTTGTGATTATGTATCAATTTTAAGCAGTATATAACAATCCCAATCAAACAATCAAGACAAATCGACACAACGATTTTACGTGAAAAAACCACAATTGGACACCTCCAATTCTGATAAAAAAAACCACAAGCAACAGCCACAAGACAATCCACTAAGAAGATATAAAGGAATTACACAGGTATACTCTCAATTACCTAGCGAATCCACGCCGGTTTTTCCCTGAAAAATAC